CCGAGCTCCGGAGTGCGTGGCGCTGCCGCCTGGCCCAGGGTTGGGGACAGGCCCGGCGCTCGTGGGACAGCCGAACTGGCCCTGCGTGAGGAGCCTCCGTCACCTCCTTCCTGTCTGGGCGCGCCCCGGGCTCAGCGAGTCCCCGCCTGGCCGCCCTGTCCACACAAGGTCGCAGCCCCTCCGACCACCCTCTTCTGCCGCCCTAAGGCCTTCCGAAGATAGGGATCCATAAACACGGATCGTATCTACGTAGCCCCTCCTCTCCACACGGCAGGGGCACTGACCCCGTGGGCTCCCGCTTACTCCTGCCCTCTGCCCTCGCCACCCCACCCCCCAGACTGGCCCACCAAACTGAAAAATAAACGACAAAACTTGCAGCCACCGAGGTCATTCTAACCCATCGCGACCCTGTAGAACTGCCCCTGGCGGTTTTTGAGACTGTAATTCTTTCTGGGAGTAGCAAGCCTCGTTTTTCTCCAGCTGACTGGCTGGTGATTTAGAACTGCTAACTCACTGCCACCACAGCTCCTGGCTGACACATTCACTCACTCACTGCCACTGGGTCCATGCTGACTCACAGCGACACTCCCCCCCCCCCTTCAGAGACTGTAACTGTTTATGGGAGGAGAAGCCCCATATCTAATGTATGAAGGCAGCCAGCGTGGACAGGCTATCCACTGGCCAGCTGCCCATCTCATGCTGCCCACTGGGTGAGCCGTGGCCGCACACACCACACTGGGTGAAGCTCCAGACCATCCCTCAGACTGGTGACATTTGTGTTTTATTGTGAAAAGCAGAATGTACATGGTACAGAGGACTTCTTTCTTAAAGCTACAGTTCCCCATGAGGGGCCTTTGGGGGTGCTGTGTGTGAGGCTCTGGGCTGCTTGCCACTTGTGAGGGGAAACGAGACGAGGGATCTGCTCCCATCAAGATGTACAGCCTGGGGGGAGGGGGAGGAGGGAGGGAAAAAATGAGGAGCTGATACCCAAGGCTCAAGTAGAAAGAAAATGTTCTGAAAAAGATGATGACAGCATGTGTACAGATGTGTTTGACACAATGGATAGGTGTACGGATTGTGATACGAGCAGTAAGAGCCCCCAATAAAATGTTTTTAAAAAGAGGTACAGCCTGGGAAACTGCAGGGATGAGTAAGAATCAACTTGATGGCCCGTGCTTTGTAGAGTCCTGCACAGGTTTTCTGCGGCTGTCTCCGAGGGAGCAGACAGCCTCCTTCATCTCATCCCTGTCTAACACACCCGCAGACAGACTAATGGGTTTGCGTACCAGGCCTAGTGCTGAACCCACAGTCTACTAAGACGTCTTATATGTGTGCATATATATAAACCCACACACGTAACAAGGGGCCTCTAAAAGTCAGTGGGGAAATGCCATTGCTTTTGTACCCCTGCTATGTTATTGTGAATTAGGTGGTGGTGGGGGGGACAGATTTGCAGTAACAACTTGAGACAGTTCAACCTTCCCAATGGCTTGTCCTATCCTCTGCCAGATCGCCCTCTTATAGGGTGTTGTTTTCTGCTTCACCAAGTGAACACGGGGCACCCCTCTAGCCTATTGAACCCCACCCCCACTCTTCCCCTCTTACCCCTGGTGACCATCAAGTCTGTCCTTCTGATGTGAAAAACATCTATCTTGATTTGTTTCCTTCCCTAGCAGTGGTCTTGTACAACACTGATCCTTTTGTGTTTGATGACTTTACTCAGCCTCCCGTCCTCCAGATCGATCCACACCACGAACCTATACAACAGGGTAGAACTGCCCCTGTGGGTTTCTGACACTGTAACTCTTTACGGGAGTAGAAAGCCTTCTCTTTCTCCCCTTGGAACGGCGGGTGGTTTTGAACTGCTGACCTTGCTGCTGGAGGCCCAATGCATAACCCACTTCACCACCAGGACTTCTGAAGTGTCTCATGGATTATCATTTATTCTTCAGGGGTGCATACTATCCCACTGCATGTACTTACATATGTACCAGAGTTTATTTCTCCATTCTCCCTCCCACAGGCATTTAGATGGTTCCCATTGTCATCTGTTGTGAACAGTGCTGCAACGAGTGTGGCCGTGCCTGCATCTGTTCATGCTGCGTTCCATGTTTCTGCAGTGCGTATTCCTGTAGGGAAGTGCTATTGCTGGGTCACGTGCTATGTCCCTTCCCAGTTGTTTGAGGAAGTGCCTTACCGCTTCCTGCTCCTTTACATCTTTTTATCCCCCTTTTCTATGAACTTCCTGAAGCTCTCTTAAGCCAAGTGTGAGAATCCAGACACCAAAGACCACACGGTGTGTGCTGAACCCACCAGCCACTCTGCAGGAGAAAGATGAGGCTACTTCCATCAAGATCTCCAGCCTGGGGTCCACAGGGGCAGTTCTACTCTGTCCTGCAGGGTCATTGTGACTCTGAGTGGACTCACAGTGAGTCCCCTGCCAGGGAGTGCTGAGAGTAGCCGGGAGCCAGAGTGCAGGTTCCCACGCAGCACCCCCACCTCCCCCACCAGGCTGCCCTCTTCTCACCATCACTTTATGGGTGGTTGTGGTAATTACATAATCTGGTGTCAATTTGAGGATTCAGAGTGAAGGGGTGAGTATAGCCTGTCAATCAGGATCTAGCCAATGAGGCCTCTGTGTGGGTATGACCTTCTCCTGAGGATTTCAGGAGCTCCTGTATTTCCTCCTTGGAGGCGGGAGACTCTCTGTCTCCCCCTACCACTCCACCCCCTTCCAGGCTCACTCCCTGTGAGAGAGACTTCCTTCCCTGTGGAGAATGCACATGGAGAGAGGCTGATGGAGCCAGACCTCTGGAGCCAGAGAAGCCACATGGAGACCCCTGCCAGCGCTAAGATGCTTGCAATGCCGCTAGATCCACAAGACCTTCCACCCACTGGTCTGTGATCTTCCTGCATTCAGTGTCATTGCATGTGTTTCATGAGTCTGAAGAGGACTTTATAGATTGGTATCAGACATATGGGCTAATATCAGACTTAGGGACTTGATCTGGATTGGGCTGGGAAGTTTTCTCAATATTCAACTGTTCTCATATATAAAGCTCTTTCTTATACACATCCGAGTGTCTTTGGATTTGTTCCTCTAGTACCTGGACTAACACAGTGGGGCTGGTGTCAGCCCGCTCTACAGACAAGGAAATGGGGGCTCTGAGTGTGCAAAGGGCTCATCCAACATACAGGACTGGTGAGTACAGGAAGCAGGGCGAGGGGCCCCAGTTACCTCATGCTGGAACCCCAGCCGTCACTGAGGCCAGGGGGTGGCTCCTTGGGAGGGCTGCCCACTGCCTGCCTTCTGGCCAGCCACAGCTGACCACAGCAGTCATCCCTATGGAGAAGCAGGGACTGCAGCTGGGTGTGCACTGGGAGGGCAGCGCCTCCAGAGCTGGGGCTCTCCCACCAGCTGGGCAGAGTGTTCTCTGGAGGAGGCTGGACCGGCTCGCCCTCTGCTCACCCTGTTCTCACCAGCCCTTTGTCTTGGCCTGGGGCCAGGTCTCCCTCCTGAGGTTGAGGAACCTAGAAAACTCGCTGGCCAGCTTAAGAGAGCAGACACAACAGCAAGCCGACCTCTAGGCCTGCTCAGCCTGGATAAGGAGCCCTGGTGGTGCAATGTGACTCACTGGGCTGCTAATCCCAAGGTCAGCAGTTCGAAACCACCAGCCGTTCCAAGGAAGAAAGATGGGACTTTCTATTGCCGTCAGGAGTTAGAGTCACAGGGGAAGTTCTTCCCTGCTCTGTAGGGTTGCTATGAGTCAGCATCGATGTGATAATGTTGAGGTTGGTTGGTTGGTTGGTCTTCAGTCCTGTATGTGCCTACTTCTTTGGACTGGGGGGCCATGAGCAACAGTGCCTCCAGTGTGGGACCAGAGCCCAAGGAAGGAGAGGCAGGGCCTGGCCCAGTCCTGGGTCCTCCTTCATCTGACATTGAAGAGAGAAGCCCAATCCACCTCCCACCCGGCTCCTCCTCGGCTTTGAAGACCTCACCCTCCCAGTACTTCCCAGCTCTGTGGGCCTGGAGAAGATACTTGGCTTCTTTGTGCCTCAATTTCCCCAGCTCTGAATGGGGTGACGCTTGCTCCTCCCTCACAATACGGTATGAGGTTGAAATGAGGGGTTCCCAATGACCACTGCCCAGCAGTGCCCAGGATATAGCACCCGCTCAATAAAGGGACTCAAGATGGCACGCGTGACTGCCAAGCTGGTTCTGACTCATGGCAGCCTGGGTCTTAGAGACCAGACCCTGGCTCTTTAGGGCCTTTCTTGCAAGGAGCCCGTGGGTGGGTTCGAACTGCCGGCCTTCGGGTCGGCTGGTGATGGCTCACCACTTGCTCCCCCAGGGAGCTGTAACTGTTCGCTT